CGTGTTGACAATGTGGGTGAGGGGTGCCGTGCAAGTAGCTATACTCAAGGGGCTTGGAATGATGCTGCCAACGCTAAGGGATCAATTCAAAACAACTGCTTCGGTCGTTGGCTGGATGACCTCAATGATAGTCGCTGTCGGAGGTGTAGTTGGTAAGGTGGTTTTGTTTGTTCAATCCTTTGTTGGTTGGTTTCAAATTGTTTGTTTCTTTGTTGGGTTGTTGGTGTATTTGTTGGTCTGTTTGTATACTCCTTGTGTTTTTGTTCCTGCGCTACAAAAGTATGGTACCGTTATTTGCAACTCTGCAGTTATTATTCCTTGCTGTGGCAGGATCGTTTACACCTGTGACCATTATGTTAAATTGACCATTTTTGAAATAACACGTACAAATTTTCACAGGAGACCTAAAGAAAACGAAGGCTTATCGTGGGGAAAATAATCAAACATTTTTGGTGAATGCTGACGGTCATAAGATTTTTCAACGTTTTTATCTCTGTGAGTTTTCTCTCATGTATTAGCAGAGTCTGAAAGTATTCAAGTAATGAAAAAATTCAATATTGACGTTTAATTACCGAAAGCAAGAACTGGATGAGATCCCTCGATACTTTGTAAAATAAAACAGCCGAAGTTCGTCAGTGAAGATGCCTTGAATAGCTGGTACAGCACAACGTAGTGCGTGATGTAGAACAAACAGTGTCAATTATTACCAAAAATAGTCTTTTCCCCGTTTTCAGACAAAATGAATTCGTGCATATTTTCTAATTATGCTGTTGATACACGCATTGTGACAGCCCAAACACAGCTCTAAATGTGGACACGTTTGTGTTGAATAACTAAAGAGGTGTTTCAGAATATTAGGGACAGTAGGAGTGGAGATTTGAAAAAGGTTAAACCAAACTAGTGCCAATTCCCAGTATCTTGAATGTTTTTTTATTTGTGATGCAACACTTGGTCATCCGATCAACTGCAAAATACTAACGTGTAATTTATTGACGCCAACGTCTTAATGGTTTTGGACTTGCTGTGGAGTCTGTAAGAGATACTAAGAGTTTGAATGTTTGCAGCAACGTATACAACTATTGGTGTCGGGGGAATCCGAACGCGAATGCGTCGAAATTTCTGAGCCTTGAATTCTGAACCTTGAATTTTCTCCGATGCAACAAAGAAATCAAACATGATCACGCTGACCTGAGGAACAAACATAATTATAATTTACTGAGAACGTTTAATACACTTAGCCTGTCGAAAATAAGGTTAACAAAGAACGGTGTTGTTTGGAACTATTTTATAATGAAAGAGATAAGGAATCAAGAACAAGAAGATCTTACGGGCAATACACTACAAAAACTGGGGTGTTAAATTTAACACTCACGGTGTTATCAGAAGACTACACCAACGCTTTTCACTGGTGTTAACATTTTTGTGTTATTTGGTGTTAGTTGTAACACCTTCTAGTGCACTGTAACACTTATAGGTGTGCAAAATAACATCATTAATGTCAAAGTAACACCCTGTGGTGTGGTCGTCTGATAACACCCAAAATTGATTTTAACACCCGAGCTTTTACAGTGTAGCTTGGCAGGCACTATACAATGAAGAACGCTGCAGTCCACAAATGGCGAGAAAAAGTTCACTCCTTGACCGAGCAAAACGGGGTGAAGATCACGTCCAATAGAAACGACAGGGCTTGAAACGAAACGGCAAGGGTGTGATTACCGTGACAAATACAGGATAATGATGATAAAATGATGATTCCCCATTCTGGAACTGGATTCACTTCACAAGCTGTCGCTTCCGGAGTAATATTTTGCTCTGCACTTCACTTGATCTGGACAAACGCTTTGTACAAATTTCGCTCCACAGACGACTCGCCACCACGGGTTGAAATGGTGCAGAACTCAATGAGTCCAAGACTAATTTCACTGCCCGCGTAAACTACTCTTGCCTCCCGAAATCACCCCTCTCCCCTCCCCTCCCCTTCCTTTCCCCTTCCCCTCCCCCGTTCTCCCTCCCCCTCTCTCTCTTTGTCTGCCAGAGCCAGTATTTTATAGCCTTCAGCTCTTCTCAAACTTTCTCAGTTTCTTACTAAATCTAAACTCATTTAAAATGAAAGTCAACAGTTCCTGTTATATGAAAGGTTCTACCAAATTTTATTCGGGCAAAAGATATCAAGGCTTTTAACGTACAGAAGCTATCTTTTGAGTGATTCTGGGAAAGCAATTTAGCATTGCAGTTGAAATCTCTCTTGCCAGCTGTCACTGCAGCCCCTCTTGGTAGACGTTTTGGAGCCGGAAACGTCATCATGGTCTGCGGCATAATGATTGGCGTTTCTTTCATCGTTGGATCCTACGCAACCACTCCGATTCAACTGTTGCTGGCTTTAACTGTTTTGGCAGGTAAGAAACCTTTACCTTGTTAGTTTGACTGAATGTATCAAAGGCCGACCAGAGAACTCTTAGCAACAAATTGTTCACTCTCTAATTATTTTGTATCACTGAAATAGGTTCGGCATTGCGAGTGCCTTTGGTACTTTCAAAAGAGGCGCTAGGCAGAGGCTATCACAAGAAACATGCATTGGCTACCGGCATCGCAAAGACTGGTTCTTCTGTTGGTCTGGCCGTAGTCGCACCTCTTATTCAGCTATGTCTCAGCACGTATGGATGGAGAGGAACCATGCTAATGATAAGTGGAATATCACTGCATCTTGTCCCCTGTGGTGCTCTCATGAGGAGCGTTAGGAAAGCTCCGAGCACACGTTACCAAGAGCTACCTCAGGATGAAGTCTCCCTAGTAAATTCAGTTCCTCGCACTGACTGCACGTCATGTTGGACAAGTGTCTTTAACAATTTTGATTTGTCATTGCTTTGCAATATTCGGTACTGGTTGTTGGCTTTTGTTGTCTTTTCTTTTACTTTTACTTATGAGATGTGGGTGATCTATTTTGTGTCCCACGCTGTATCAAAGGGATACTCCCTTGACGACGCAGCAGTGTTTGTCACCGTGGCGGGCTTTGGGAACCTGATAGCAAAAGTCTTGCAGGGCTTCATTGTAGAAGCTGGGATAATATCCACCTGGGGACTGATGGTCATATGCATCCTCGTCAGTTCGTCTGGGTTCCTTGCCACCCCCTTGCTGTCTTGGTATTGGGCAATGATGCTCACGTCGTCGATGGTGGTCGTTTGCAGCGGTGTTCTGTATTGTCTGCAAGATGTTCTTANTTAAGCAAATAATTGGGTTGGAGTTGTTGGCTAGTGCACACGGCTGGATGGATATCAAAGCCGCTATATTAAGACTCCTCTTCGGCTGTATCCCAGGTAAAACCAATTTTATTTTGATTTAAACCAATAGACAACCATCCTTGTGAGCTGTTGAAACAGTCAGGATGGATTGGTAGAAATCTTTCATGAACTTTAATGCATTCATTCAGTCATTTCTTTAATATTTTACACATAACAGAAGGTATGTAATAAAGATATTACAGGAAGGATTAATGAGGATGGGGTCCCTTAAAAGCAGTGCTTGTTGAGCAGGGATCCAGATTAGGAATAATACACACGTCCCAACGTCATGTGTACACTTTTTGCCAGATGTTATCAATTAGTTCAGCTCAGTGTTTAACAGACAGAAGCGTGCTTTTTCGAAAATGCACGAGGCCTCATCATACATTGAGCACTCATTCGAGGTGGTGTTTTGTGATCAAAGGTTACAAAAACATCATAAGCCCTACATAATGCAAAAAAAATCATGACCTTCGCGTTATGAGTTTTTCCATTTGTATGATGGATGGAGAAAAATGAATTGATTTTTACTTGACACTTCAGTCTATCTCTTTGCTTCTTGGAGTAAAAACTTCAGTCATAATTGATATTTCTTCAAACTGGATTCATCATTACAAAAAAACAGAATTAAAGCTGCTCAGTTGAAATACAAATTTAAAGCATTCTCGTTATGTTCTCTACTTTTCATTTCCAGGTTTGATTTATGACACCACTGGAAGTTATGACGCTGCATTTATTTTCCTCGGCAGTGTGCAGTTGGCTCCCCTTCTTTCTCTTGCCGCCCTCAAATATTTAGAACGCCATAATCGAAAGTTTTGACTTTTAATTTGTATTGTCAACAATTTCCGTGTATAATACCACCACATGGAGTTGGGTCGGTAAAAGAGGTTTCCAAAATGGTGGAGCTACTGGGTATTTCGGGATCTTCAAGTTCACGTGCTGCCCCGTAAAGGAACAGGACCGAAGACTTTAGTTTAAGCAGTCCTTATATTAATATTTATGTAAAAACGGACAAAGCCTAAACTCAGTTGTTTATATATGGCAGTCTTAAGAGCATGTATTACTTCTCCTTGGTGACTGTTGTGTTTCATTAAAATACTAAGTGGTGTACAAAATGAGGGTACATTCGCATGTTGTTTGTAGCACGCCACTGTTACTGTGGAACGTCCTTCGGCCAGTGTACAATTTTATTATTTATGTACATGTCGCAGGTTTTTCGCCCAAAATAAGCACTGTTGACTGTTGTATATATAAGCAGATTCAAAGTATGTCATAGGCAATTCTCGTCAGTCTGACCTTTTCTGCTGTTTTCATGTTGGTAACAAAATGTTTCCGTAACAAAACCCTACGTACTCATGACTGAGTCATGCACATAATCATGCGTACATATATATATACACACGTACTTACAAAGTGCAATAATCGTAAAATGGTGGTCATGGCGTATGGGTTTCTTGCGTCTGAAATTTTGTGTGTGGGCCGCGTTTGATTTTAAACATTAACCCCACAGCGGGGTGTGCAAAAACTTGCATTTGACCTGTTTGGAAAAGTTTCAACATAAAACGAAATGTGTTTGTGGAAAACACAGCTACTGGTTTCATTTATCTGAAAACCAGTAAAAATCTTCTTGACAAACTAGTTCCAAGATTAATGACGCATGGACAATATACACAGTACAAACATTTTATGTCACGTGACTTGTCACTTGGCCTGTTGCATGATCAGGACATCATGATTTCATCTGTAGCACTTTCCTTTCTAGCAATCTGTCAAGTTTCAACCAAATCGGATTGGTATTTAGGGCCTATGGAGAGTAAAGTTAACGTTATTTTAATCTCAGAATAGAGATGTCTCTATTATTAATAGACATATCTGAGAGAGAGATCGAACGTGTACTTCAGGAGACATAGTGCGTCAAACAGACCACCTTTAATGTCACATGACTTGTCACCTGAGGACGTTGTCATCACGTCAGGTCAATGAGGGTCTGAAGCATTTCCCTTTACAGCTATAAAGAAAGTTTCAACCCCATTGGGAATGGACTTTAGAACATATATTTCATTGAAGAGTGCCTCTTTAACGTCACGTGGCTTATGACATAATGACGTTGTCGTCCATGGTATCAATTTTATTCTGGAGTAATTCCATTTCTAGCCATCTGCCAAGTTTCAACCGAATCGGACTCGTACTTCACGAGATAAAGTGCTCTAAAGAGTGCACCTTTTATGTCAAGTGACTTGTCACCTGATGACGTCGTCAGCACATCAGGTCAATCAAGTTGGGTCTAACCTTTCCCTTCCCAACTATATACAATAGTCGGCCGGCCAAATATGAAAAAGTCGGTAACAGCAAGTAACCATGTTCAATCAATTATTTATATGATAACAAACAAGATGCGGGCGGATGTCATCCTAGAAGTCTTTAAAGGTCAACTGAGGTCAAAATTGGCATTTTTGTTTTATGACTTAAATTTCAACTACAGCTATACAGTATATCTATCTATAAAATCAGTATCAACATCATTTGATGGCTCTCATTTATGCAAACGTCAAATAAAATTTTATTTTGTACACAAATGTAATACAAAAGAAAAAGAAAACATAATGTCGAATTTCTTGAAATTTGTTTTGCAAGGGAATAAATACAACTCTTTCCAAACGAACCACCCTTTTCAAAATTGCACAAATGAACTGGCTCACATAGGCATTTCGGACCTAAACAATTACTTTTGTTTCCTACAACCATCTGTTAATCCTTTGTGACAAATTTAGGCTGCTCTTGTGACAGATTAAGTCAATGAATGTCCAACATGACGGTTATTAAGTAATAGCATACATGTGCAGTCACACAATGGACACATACATGTGAGTATCCTTGACAATAAGTTGTAGCTCCATGGATGGGCAGGTGATAGTCTGATTTTATTGGCTCAGATTTTGAAATAAGAAAATAACGCCGGAAGTCCATGCCGTGTTCATGATTGGCAGTTTTGTTGTGAAGTTATGTCAGAGACGCTTTAACTAGGTTCAAGGTGATCAAGCCACTGAGTGGGCAAACAGGACTTGTAAAATGCAAAACGCAGAATATGATGAATAAGAATATTAGGGATAAAGATATCTCTATTATTGATAGAGATATCTCTATGATTGATAGAGATATCTCTATTAAGAATAGATATATCTCTATTAGGAATAGAGATCTCTATTAAGAATAAACATATCTGTATACGCAGTTTAAATGTTAATCTTGCACGCCATAAAAGAAGTTACTGCGGCGATTGTTCAATGTTGTTACTGCAAGAGTGGCAACTGTCCTCAAGCATGAACTCTCTTTAACCCGGCTGTCCCTGGCGAAGCCTGGAGGTTAAATGAATTCTTCCCCAAAAGCAGAGCTGTTTAGCATCTTGTCCTTTGGACTTTAGATACTCTCAGATATTCCACACACTGATCTGAATTGTGGTAGATGTCCATGCACTCACAGGGGCGTATCCAGCTTTTGACGGGGGGGGGGGCGACAGCAAATTCAACAGTGAATGCGTCTTTGGGTTCATTCAACATGATGTTGGGGGAGCATACAGGAAAGCCAATGTCCCCTTGGACAAAAAGACGTCTACAAACCCTATGGAGAAAGGTCTGAAAAGGATAATAGAAAAATAAGGAAAGCAACAGCTGCTTCGGCAGTGTTGCCAAAACAGCATAATAGACTTGCGACAGGAGTACGCCAACCGAACCTTCCGTTTGGTATTTTTACTTTTATGTCAATATCTGTCAGTTGTGGAGAACTTGCAGCAAGTGAAATGTGAAATGCTATATGGCAGATGTAGAACACCATAGTAATTCCCTTCAGAAGCAAAAATATTACTGTCATTCACCGTGCAGAGATACACTTAAATATGTAGGTGCCCTAATTTATGCACATATCCTTTGCCAGTGCCCCAGGCCTAGATTACTAAGCAACGTTCCTTTTTTCGCCTAGTCTACTCAAGCTGCAGTTTGTGATGACAGCTGTTTTCCTGGGAATCGAGTTTTTGGTGTCGTAATGCTTCATTGATTTTGTTATAGACATATGGCAAAATACTTCGGTATAACAACTCAAAATTACAAAATGAACATCAATTTGATAGCTCTTTGTAAGACTTATGACTTATATTAGGGGTCCGCCAGATAATTCGAAGGTGCATTAGTCTGAAGGTTTTGTAGTCCGAGTGCGCTAACTCCCGATAACTGGTTCATTAGTTCAAAAAGGAAATAGGGTTCGTTAATCCAAATATCTGATCATTGTCTAAAGTTACAATGGGGGCTCATCAGTTGGAAAGTTCCCCATAGATAACAAGGTTTAGCAGTCGGAAGGTCATTTCATTATTCCGAATCGATTGAGAGGTTGGACATTCAGAATCGAAGATAAGGTCCGATAGTCCCTGTGATGATAAAGTCATCAAGTCAGACTATCGAGCCCCAATGTCAGTTTAGTCTCTGGAACCTTATTTTCATTCAGACGATCGAACCTTTAGGCTATTTAACCTCAGTATGATTTTGAAAAGAAACAGACCCTTCGGACAGACCTTAAAGACTGTCCAACATTCAGACTGTCGGGATGTCGCTTTTTATTCGATTGAACTGATTATTCTGTATTTGATGGTAGACCAATTAATCAGCTTGTTACAAACATTCTAGCGTGGCTTGAAACTGTTTTATTTTGAGCATTGAAATACGTAATCCCAAACTTGGAATCAGTCTAAACAGAAGATAATGTAGCATTTACAAACGTATTCTTTAAAACACATTTTACCTGTAATCTACATGCACTTCTCTGTTGTGCAACTCATAATAAGCCAACATCGATTGTAAAATGACCGAAGGCATCAGGTCAAAAAAGGGCCAAGTCCTGGGATGCAAAACAACTATAACTTTCTTTTCAAAAAGTTACTGGCAGATGCATAATTCAAAAGAAAAATAATGGACAGCGTCACAGTATTGCTCTAGGTGCGTAATACGTGTAGCCTTCTAGTACACTGTAGGCCTACAAGTCCACGTGCATTGTTGGGTGGAAATGAAATTGAAGTATCATATTAGTGATAAGTCCTGTACTAAATTCTGATATAGAGTCCTTTTTGTCTTTTAGTGTTTGTCCTCAACGGCTGCTGAGAGTAATTTGAACATTCGTTGTATCCCCTTGAAGCGGGAAGAAGCTTTTAACTCGTTTAGTGCTAGTTAGGCAAATCTAAGAGTCTCACTATTACAGCCATTTGTAGAAAATCATTTATTTCAAACTTTACAATAAAATTATTTTTCTTGCGGTAGCTGAGCGAGGCTTGCAGCTTAACAAAAAAGGCACTGGATATCTTACCGTGGTAAATCTGAGTCTGGTTTTGGGCCAACATAGGTGAGGTGAAAATCACATCATATTTCCAATTTTGGCCTTTTTTTGCCTGAGTCCTCTAGAGCCACAAACCACGAAAATGAAATATTCTGTAATTGAATGTTCGAGCCAATTTAAAGAAAGAAGAAAATTCTTAATTTCGGGGGGCAAAAATGACTGCAGGTAGAGATCAGCCTGGTTGGAGGCATAACATGTCATCTCGAGATATCTGCGCTATCCAATAGACCACTGACCCCACTTGACATTAATGGGAATTCGATATTAAAAACCTGCACAGGCTTGATCGACTATTTGTTAAAGACGGCGCTTTCTGATTGAAGCTGGTAACATAAATTAGTCAAAGTTGTGTAACAAAAAAACAAACCATCGTTTTAAATTCGAACACAAACATGTACGTGTTGAATTTTAAGGCAGTTGTTAGCCATATTGTAATCTAAAAGCGTGCTTGCTCCGAGTTGACAGTGCTAACGGCTGCTTTTAATACACAGCGCCCCCAGTTGGCTGACAGGAGCGCAGCCAGTTCCCTCGTCGCCCAGCGCCCGAAGCGGGCGCTGGGAAGAGCTGATGCTTTTGCACTGTGATTGGCTGCTTTGTGCATGACCTCCGACCGCGAGGTTAACACTTCCTGTTAGCGAAGCGGTTTTTTAGTTTTCGGTTAGCCAATGACAAAGCTTTAGCTCAGGTCAAAGTGTGCGGTGTTCGACTTACATGATAAAAATATGGCTTTGGTGCAATCACAGTAATTTTTATCTTCTCAGCAAGTATCACTGATCACGTGTCTTTTGACGACATACCTCAAATCATTGGTTGTCTTCTCGATTTTGGATGAACTGATAAAGTGTGGTGAGAATATTTTCAGCCATGAGGAAGGAAATCAAATAAAAGTCGAATTGATAACCGCCACACTGAGCCAGCTCGCTCACCTGGTAGGTATTTACCTGCAATGCTTTGCGCGTCGTTAGCTGTGACCCCACGTGACGTTTTTCCTTCACTAAAACATGTGCAAGGTCATCAGCCCGCTTCCCAGCACCACGTTCGGGCGCTCGGCGACAAGCAAACACGGCCAGGAAATGATCGTTGTGCGTCATGGACAAAGGACGTGTGTGTGGATCGCTGCTCTAAGTCTGGAGTTACTAGGACCAGCCTGATGTAGGTGTTGAACTAGAAGATCGGAAGCAGGGGACGCACAGGGGACCTCCGGGTTATTTCCCGGGGGGGTGTGGGTCTTTGTGCGGCTGGGGATCCCAGAAGTTCCCGTATTTTGCGCTGTGGGCCAGGAGCTCTAGTATCTGGATGTGCTGTACAGGAGTTTGTTGCTGATTAAGTAGAGATCAGTAATTAAAAATCCTTGCCCAGTCAGTCCCTAAAATTAATATTTATCCCTGAAGACTGTCCTTATTTCCCGTCCTGAAGAGAGAGCGAGCAGCACGTGTTAGCGGCATACGCACTCCAAAAGGACTCACCACCAAGGTTACCTTATAGCCGCTCATTTGTGCTGACCAAAGAATTGGTCGGGAGGTGACCTTGGCGAAAAGTTGGTCGGCGCCACAATATTACAGAAACCGCGCAAAATAAACAATGTGGAGGTATGCTGTTGCATCACAGGATTTATATATTCCCGTGAAACAATATAGCAGGATTTGCCCAATCGAAGCTCACTCAGGGGAGGCATTTAAATTAATTACAACGGTGTTGTTATAAACTTTTTTGTTCAAATGTGAATTAGGAGATCACAATCACATATTCC